TATAAATAGAAAGGTGAATGAAAGAAAGACAGTAAAATAAAATAAATAAAATAAATAAAGAAAGAAAGAAAGAAATAAACATAAATAGAAAATATACCAAAATGAGTTAAAATAAAAGATAAATACTCGTACAAGCTGAAAATGATGCTGGAATATATGTCCCGCTTGGAACAATCGTTCGAAATTATGCATAAATTTGTTATAGATACTTTTTATCATTTCTTTACAAGTATCTTTAGCGCAATGTATTTTTATAAGGCAATTGTGAAGTTGCAGCGCAATATACGTATGAATAAAAAGAGTGTGGGACTAATTCGAACGCAATACCGCTTCCGTCATAACGGTTGCTGCTGTATTGTTGCATTGCATCTGTAAGAGCTTTGAGTTGGCAGTACGTTAACTGAGTTGCGGCTTAGGTAGATACTCGTATCTGCAACATGTGGGTCTGCAGTTGTCATTGGTGTTGCTCGCTTACACCGACATTGTCGTCAAGTATCTGCGTTTGTATGGCTTATGAGTTACCTAACTGATCTCAATAATGTAGGTTTAGAATTTGGATTAAACACATTAAACTAGACAACTTGTTGCTGCTCTTAAAAGCTTGCGACGCCTACTTAAGATACTCATACGACACACTATACATTAACTTTCTACCATTTTTTCAGCAGAAAGATTATGGTGAAATTAATTTAAGTTTATTGAGATTTTGTGAATGGAAGTCGTAGAAATGGTTAAAAAAATTATTTAAAAACGGAAAGGTATATTCACATATATTTTTTAGATAGCATAATCAAGATTGATAAAAAGATAAAATATAACAAGATAAGATATTTAATTTATATAATACCTTAAGAATTTAACAACATTTATCTCCTAGAATAGTATTCTTAACATTTAATTTCAAATTTAAATTTTTAATTTAAATCATCCGTTAAGCATGATTGTTTAAATATGTATATATATATTATAATATATTAAATATTAATTATTTTATTACACTGTATATAGAAAATAAAGTTAAAATTGTTTATAGTTAAAACTACTACTTCCCCTCTTACGTAATCAAACTCATTGCATTTAAAATATTCCTTCCCCGATATAATAGAAGTACCTTAAATGATTAGAAGACACATTGGCTCGATTTAAAAGTCGACTTTTGGAATAGCATTTAAAAAGCGAAGCTATTCGGTATTTATCTGCTCAATCATGCCGAAGCCAAGTCCTCAGAGTAGAATCTTGATCCTTGACGCAGAATAGCTAGACGTCATACGGAGTTCAATAAGACAAATATGATAGTTGTTGAACATTATGGGTTAAAATTTGTACAAAGTAGGCTCGAAAAACCAATGTGTGAGACTGTATATTATCGTGTTGTGAAAACCAAGAACCAAGAAGAAGAAGAATTCTAGATTTCTTTTGCAAAAAGTTGAATGAAGAGTATGCGTCGTATAGATCATATAATATTTTTTGTTAAGAACTATCTTCTTAGTCTTCTCAGGTTTTGTGTAGTAGTCGCTTGATTGGTCGGTTGTTTTCGGTTGTATGCACAGATCCAATTCTCATATTCAAGTATCATGTATTTTGTCAATTTTTATTAGTCGGAAAATCTTGACTAAGATTTTACCTATGATTTTTTTTTTAAAAAATTGAAGATATTTGGCAACCAACGAAATATTACTTTTCACAGGCACAAATAAAAGATCAACAGATCTAAATAAAATGTCAACAGTATTAGCGAACTGTCTTATTATCAATCGATGATTTTTGAGCACTTAAATTTTGGTTTGATTGATGTGTTATTTATTACTTCATGTTTATGGACGTCCAGGATGATTTTTCTTTTTAACACTCGTAAATATATTTTTTGTGATGTAGCATGTACCTTCTGAAGACCTTCTCCATTTTGGGGAACAATATGTATCTAGCTGGGGATAATTTTATATTCTTTTATGGAATTCTAAAATTTATAATTTTTTTAATTGAAAAAATATTGAAAAAGCATTATGACAACTTATACTCATTTTTCTCAAGCTGTTTTCCTAAATTACATTATCTAAAAATTTCCAGCATTTTCAAATTCAACTCAAAGGTTTATCTGCTTTATTCCTTAAAGATATTAACTACATATGTAGCAATTACATTGTCAGAGGGTAGAAAATGAATACCTATACAGTAAATGTAAAAATATGTTAATTTTTTACTGCTCCCAATGGTTAGAAGATACAAATTGTAGAAATGGTAATGCGTTTAACGCTCAAGAAGGTATAGTATCTGCTATTAGTTCTTTTGCAATGAATGAATAAATTAAAAGCACTTTTCCCTGTGTACTCGTTTGTAATTAAACTTACAAAATAACCTATTTACATACTCCTGTCATTATTTATTACACCAGCCTACAATTTTTTTATAAGTGAAGCCTAAAGCTTTATAGAAGTTTATAAGAAGTTGCTACAAAAACTTCAATTATGAAAAGACATGCAGAATTGCATCTTATTGCTCATATATTTTAAAACATTATAATAGTTTGGATTATATATACGAGTGAATTCGATTTAATAAAATAGGCTTATAATAAATATAAAAGTAAATTTCTTATTCCCTGGTTAATATAGGTAGATAGAAAAAAATCTGCAGGTCTCCTTAACTTCCTAAGAGAGGACGACTCTAAGAGTCTGACTTGTATAACGTTTAACTGGGTATTTGGCAGATATTTACTTAGATTGTCACTTACCTCTCATGAAATTGTGGAAATAAGGAGAAAAAGACCCAGTACACTGCTTTTTCTGTAGGCAGAAACAGAGCGAGCGTTTAGGCAATTATGACTTTAGTCCTACTACAAAAGTGTCCAGTTCTGAGGTTAAAAATATCTATCGCTTTATTAGATTTTTGATATGGTTCCATAAGAACAATGGATCCCGTTTTAAGTAGTGCTATCAGAATAAAGTCGTAGAGTTAAAGTGAGTTTCTCAACCCGATTTAAGGCCATATAATCTCATATAACTCATATATTATCCTCATTATATACAATTCTTTTTTATTTCTTGAAAGCAATCTTTCAATTTTTAAAATAGTAAAGTATTTTTCTATACTATTCATCGATAAAGACAAAAGACCTATTAAAATATCTAAATTCGACAGGGTAGATTCAATCCGTGTTCTTCTATCTTACTACTTCTTGCGAGAAATGTGGCAGCCAAACGGCGTAAAATTGATAATTAAGGTTTTTGGACCGCCACTATAACCAACCTACCATTATTTTAAGAAAATATTTTAGATTACAGATTTCCGATTAGTTAGTAGAAATCGAAATGTAAAAGAATTATAGAAGATAGATAAAAATATGCGTTGTGTCTTATATTCAGGACTATCATATATTATATTATCATATAAGACTATATATATTTTCTTTATATTTATATTATTTTTTTATATTTTTTATTTTGATGAAGTATTACGATAATGGATTATAGAGTTTATTTCTACACATAAATCTTTCTGATTTAGTTAGCGAGTAGCAATCAAATAGATAGGATTTATTTCTAATCAATATTTATGGGAATGAAACTTCAAATGAATCTATTAAATAAACTAATATATATCTGTCATGAGTCATATAAATTTTTTATTTATATTAATAAATATTAATTAAATAATTTCCATATATTTTTATAATTATTTTTTTCCTTCAACATATATTATTTTAAATCTCTCTTCAATAATGTTTATATGTAAAGAGTTATTCACAAAATGACCATTATGACTTAACCATTCTGTTAAAATACCAAATTCGAATTAAAAAGTATTTG